CCTCTCATGAAAGGCAGATGCATACTGGTAGGGAAGGTTCAGTGGCGGGGATCGAAATCCGTCATGACACTCCGGAATCTGTCACTAACATCGCCCTCAAAGGATGAACTTGTTCTCCCTGGAGAATCGTATTCGCCGTGGTGGCCTGATTGACACGCGACGTATTCTCCGAGGTGAGATAGGGGAAGGGATACAAGAGTTCTTTCGTCTCTGTGGAATACTTCGACACGAAGCCATGATCTGAAGCTGTTTATACCAATGAGGCTTCGGGTTCGCTCTGGTGTCACTTTATCAACTCGTGTAGTGAATGACTGGTACAGTTTACCTGAGCTAGTCGTCAGTGCGCAAACAGCGGAATATTTCAAACGATTACTGGACATCTATTTGTTGGACAAGCATGGATCTTGCTGTGTTGACTGTGACCGTAATGTTCCCTTGTGAAACACTGTGCCGCATCAAACCACATGATCCCTACAGTGAGCGGGAAGGGATGGGGCTGACAAAGGGATTTGTTTTCTGCTCTCTACAAAACAATGAACTTGGGTGGCTAGAGAAACTGGCACTGCTCTATATTTTTTTGAGAAAACAATCCAACGCCAGTTATGCATTATTTTGCACTGCTTCTCCAGTTACTTTTGCACCGATAAAGTCCAATTTGGCCCTAGAAATCGTTGCCTAGTCCATGCAAAAGTCCGTAGCTAATTAGATCATTCACACAGTTCTTTGCTCTTGAATGTGGCACGCGCTGATTGCTGTTACTCACGGAGATATCCGGCACGTCATCCTCTGAGTCGCTGCCTTCTTTCTGTTCTAGTCGGTTCTTTAAAATTTTACTGACTTTCGTCTTTAATAGTTGTCAGATCTGAGCACTTAGTTGTTAACAACTTGTTTGGAACGAAACAGTATGGCTTCCTTAGAATAAAGTCATGTCTTACAAATCTTGTGTTTCTTGGACGAGATAACTCGATACCTCGACGTGTCGAAAGTGACGTATCGCTAGGTGTACGGCTAGTAATTCTCTACCGAACATACTGTGGCAAGATTTGGTAGGTTGTAGGCGTTTGGAGAAAAACGCTAGGGGCTGCCACATGTCGGCTACTCGTTGCTGCAAAACAACGCGGACTACCACTTCTGAGGCGTCAGTACTGAGAGACAGTGGGGCTGCCACGTGATGCGCTATAGAAGCTATGTTGGTGATAGCCTGTTACAGCGACTTAAAAGAAGCGCGTGCTGCGGCAGGAAATTCGAATTTCTTGAGTTTTCCTCGGAGTAGGTGCGTGAGAGGTTGCATCAGTGACGCGCAGTTTGGTATGAACTTTCGGCAAAAGTTGACAAGGCTATCTAAACGTCTAAGCTGTTTGAAAGAATGAGGCTCGGGTTAGTCGATGGTTGCTTAAATTTTATCCTGCAGTGGCACGACGCCTGCAGGGGAGATACGATGGCCGAGGAAGTCGATTGAGTCGACACCAAAGAAGCACTTTTCTGCCTTGATCATCACCCCGTGTTGAGATAAACGATTAAGAAATGTCTTCGTGAAGAGCTCGCGATTAAAATGTCGTCGAGATAAGCGTAAGCGAAGTCTAAACCGCGACAAATTTGGTTGATGAAGCGCTAAAAGTTTGCGCGGCATTCTTTAGACCAAAAGGCATGCGCAGAAACTCGAACAAACCAAATGGAGTCGTCACGGCAGTTTTAGCTATGTCCGCTTCGGCTACCGGAATTTGGTTGTATGCGTGTACGAAGTCGCTTTTTCTGAAGATATTTTTACCCGCCAGATTGGCGGTGAGATCCACGATGTGTGGGATCGAATAGCGATCAGGCGTGGTGACCGTATTCAAGGATAGATAGTCACTGCAAGGACGCCAGTCCCCCATTACCTTCTTCAGGACCATGTGAAGAGGCGACGCCCATGGGCTGTTGGACGGTCTGACGATACCGAGCTGAAGCATGTGGTCGAATTCAGCTCGTGCTGCACGTAGTTAGTCTAGAGCAAGCCGTCGATCGTGCATTAACTGGTTGACTGCGAGTGACTATGTAGTGAGTGACCTCTGTCGTGACTGGCGGAAGCTCTGCAGTTGGTCGTACCAGTCGCGGGTATTCAGACAGTAGGTTCGCATAATCTGATGGTACATCGGTGGTTCGAAAAATGGGACTGATTATCGATGCGTTCGTAAGAGCGCCTTCCACCCCTTTTTCAGTGCGGTCGTTTAAAAGTCTATGGCGACCAGCATCAACAAGCAACTCAAAATGTCGGAAGTAGTTGGTACTGATAATTGCGAAGGGCGCAGATGCAACCATGAAGACCCACTAAAAGTCGCGACGAAGATTGAGGTCCAAATTCATCATGCGCTGATCGAATGAAGCTGTCGAAGAACTGTGGACCGCACGCAGATTGTACGTAGGCTCTGATTGCTTGTCGTTCGCTTTCGCTTGGATGACGCTGACATTAGCTCCGGTGTCGATGAGGAACGTGATGGAAGAATGTCGATGCTTAAAGTAAAACAGGCGATTCGCTTGGTTATTGATGGATACGTTGGTCTTGCTAGTATGCGGGCTATTCGCTTTCCCGGCAGTGGCTGTCATGCCTAATGCATGGAGCCCGACAACGTCCAACTCTTTCACCATATTGGCGGTGACACAAACATACTTCTTCGACGGGTTTCGTATTATCTAATTGCGGACGTGCAGGGAAAATGTTGCGCCTTCATGTCCAATGAGACGTACTCGATGCGGGAACAGACGAGCCGCAATGAATGGTATCTAAAACGTGGTCAGCATCTGGCCATGGCACACGCTGCTTCGAAGTCTTCATTGCTGCTATCCTGCTGCGAAGTAGTGCAATTTCCTCGTCTTTAGGGTCAAATCGGCCCGACGACTTGGAGCAAATATGGGACTCGGTTTTCATCGGTGAGAATACGTCACCGGAGCTACTGGTCATCTGCTGCGGAAGACGTTCGAACGCAGCGTTTGCTTTGGTAACTAGTTCTTTCAGGCGCCTATCCAGAAACATATACAGCATTACCGGCAATGGCTCTGGGAGACGTGCAAACCACAGTCCCTTTCTCTCTTCTTCGCTCAAGTATAAGGGACCAACGATGCGCTGAATTTCGCAGCGAAACTCCGACGATTTGCGATCTCCCAGCTTGAGACCATTGAGCTGTTCAAATCGAGCTCTGCGCTGGACTGCGATTTTTTTTAGAATTGCTTGCTTCATCATCTAATACTTTGCCTCATTCGATGTGCAGAGTAGAAGGTCATCAACCACTATCAGAACCGACGAAAGAAGGCGTGGGATGAGCAGATTGTACTCCGGACGATCCGTCGTAATGCCCTTATTTTCGAGTTCGATCTCGAATATGCAAACCAAACCTTTGGACTGTGTTCCGTGAAACTTGGAACAACAAAGTAAGCATGTTCACGCTGTGAAGCCACTCAGATGCCACTTTCGAAATGTGAATTGGAAAGACAAAGGATGAACAAAAACTGTTAAAATTACGCAAGAAAACATTGAATCCACGTACGCAATCGAGCAAAAGTAACGAACTCACCGAAAAATACAAATGATGAAAAATTTTTACATTCGCGCGTGCGAATTGGGGTCACCAGTTTGTAGGACTAGTAAATGGATATCACTATCGCCAGAACCTTTTTGGTGTGTTGTCAACGACAGTCGCGTGTAACGATTCTATGATATGGTATTCACACTACTAACAAAAGTATGAGTAGCAAGTTATAAGTAATAAGTTTCTCTAGCGGTTTCATTGGCAACGGGTATACAACAGGAATGCATTTTGGACACGACAACCTCGCTATGGCTTCGAGTACCGCTGCTGCCCATGCGCTCGTTGAGACCAGCACTGGTGCTGCAACACTGCACGGATAGGCACTTAGCGTTGCTATTTAGTTTGTTGAGAGTGTGAGCAGCCGCTTGTATAGTAATGCCCACGAACTGGTGCACTACATCAAGCGCTTAGAGAGAATCTCCGGGTCATACCACAGTGTTCGAACGTCGAAAGCGGATGCCTCCGGCAAGAAGACACTGATAAAGTATCAGTGCCAACGGAAAGGGTTTATCTGCCATCCAAATGATGGCAAAAGACGAAGACTATTGGATCATACACATTGCGGGACGTATTTCAATGTTGCTAGGCTGGGGACTTCGTTCAGCATGGTACGTAACCACGAACTTTTGAGAGACGAAGCATTAAAGTGGCTCAGTTCAAACCGTCGGTTAGATCCGGAAGAGCTGGAGATAATCAGGCCAATACTTGAATGCCGAAGCCGATGTTTCAACATCCGGTTCTATGTCCGATCGAAGTTCGGAAAATACCTGACGAACGCGGACGTCAGCAACCTACAAGCGAGGCACATGTTCGGGCGCAACCATCCAGGTAACGTGTTTTTTGATTGAGTAGCTTAACATGCACTATTTTAGGATATATACTGGACATGGAATCACAATTTAACCAGGGAGGGCGAGCACGGTGTTTGCACGATGAAAACAATTGGATCACGCAATTCGTCTACTCCACACCCGAGATGCTGGAACTGTACTCCCGGTTTCCCGACTTTTGTTTATTGATAGCACCTTCTCCACTAACCAGCAGAGATATTTTTTTTATACGAACTGCTTATAGTCGGTGGCTGTCGAAAACGTCTGCCGGTTGACATTGCTTTTCTCTGGCAGGAGACGGAGACTGATGTCACAACCTGTATCCTCACGTTTATGGATTTTGTAGGTGGTGCTTCTGGCGTCAAGTGCATCATGTCCGATGGTGCATTGGCCACTGCGAACGCTTTACATAACGCCTTTCCTTCCGCATTCATATAAGTAGGAATGTTATCAAACGTTTTCCGCAATCCACTTCGTTCAGACGTTTTTTCACCTCGATGTACACGTGCAACTTATAGAAATATTTATCTAATTTGGAACTAATTCGTACTAATGGTCAATCTTTCTTCCACTATATCAGTTCTTTCATTCTTCCCAACGCCTGCAGATGGGCCAACAGCGGGATGCCTGGTGCTACAACTTACGGCATACACGACACGAATATGTTGGAGTGCATGCATCGCTACTTGAAGATGGAACTACTGAATGAGCGAATTGGATTGTGGGAAGCCATACGAGTGTCACGGATGAGCGCGAGGTATCTGATATGGAACCGACAGAAGGCGATCTCAGAGGCATCTTGTCGCGACTACCGAATTGTCGGTCTTCCGGAGTTAGACCGCTTGTGCCGCCGATTGATGCCGTACGCTATTTTCGTATTAGTGTCTGACTTGAGTTCAACGTATGCGGTTGTGGTTTTCAGCAGCAATGAGCATGCAACCGTTTTCAGCGATCGTCGACTGGAGACGGTAAACCACGACAGCCGTACGTGCATATGCAAAACTAACGTCGGATTTGGACTTCCATGCAGACACCTGTTGCACAGCTTAACAGGTGGTTGTAAACAAACTGCCAGTCAGCCGACGGTAGACGAGAGAGAATAATGGGGCATTTGCCGTTTCAACTGCGCCGTTAGACGCGCCAATAATCGGATGGCAAGAACCGAGTGCCATTTTGGATATGGCGTTGAAAGACCTGCGTGCACTGTATCAGCAACTGCAGCCAGCGCACTTCGCTCTGTATACCGCGTGGCAACGGAGTTTTGTTTAACAAGCAGGCCCGCAAGAAATGCCTCCGTTCACGTTCCCCCTCCAGTACACCTGGTCACGGGCACAAACATTCCTGATTACAACCAGCTGCCGGAGTCCACCTTTCTGAACTTAGACGCTGCAGCTCTATCTGTCGGCATTGCCAGAGGGCATTGTCACGTCGGCCACCGATAACGCGGTCTTTGGCGACGAATGGAATATGGCAATTGCAAGCTCGGATGAAGAAGGCACTATACCAGCGGTTCTACATGGTGCACAGCTGACGGCCGCTGTTTACGACGCAAGGCATGAACCCCGGAATGTAACAGCTGACGAACAAACCAACCATTTAACTTTTCAAGATTTGGTGATCGATGAAGATATATGCGCAGAATACGACTTACAAGATCCGGAAGAAAACGAGGTGCGAACAATACACTGGTTTCAATGCCCGTATTGTACGCGTTGGTATCATCGAAACTGTCTTCCCTAGTCCCCCATAATAACTGTTTTTTGGTGCATTTTCTGCGAACAGATATTTGAATGACACTGCGCGATGAGTTGGTGGCCTTTTGCAGGCCCGACATGTCAACGTGTTTTTCCTGTTCTGCTTAGCTGCATGTGCGCTAATGATATCGTTAAATATATGCCACGTTACCGACAATTTCATTGCCATGTAACAATGAACGCGGATGCAAGTTTTTCTTCTCTTTACGTCCACCGATTAAAGCCAAACCGCCCTCAGCTTGGTGCGGTGGTGTAACCAGCTGTTAATTCGGCCAACATGGCTCTGGTGGTTTCATATGCGTGAATAATACTAGATAATAGTCCATATATGATTTACCTTTCTTCCCACGGTATCAACGAATGGGATGAAAGAAAGTATGAGGGAAAATACCCGGTGTGCAGCGTAAAACGAATGGAACACTTATGATGAACCTGTACGTTTCTCCATACTATCGTCTTGTGCAATGTACGTACATAATACACATTGTGGCTACCATTGTGCGTACTTATCCATGGGTTAAGGGTGCCGCGTTCGTTATTACACATGCTCAGTGTGAGCATGTTGCAACCGCACATACAGGTTCTTTCCACTGGAAGAGGATGTTCGCTTATGTTCAAAGGGCCAGCCGTGCGAACTATTGTATTCCATCGTTGCTGCGTTCGGACGTGTTGCACGACCTTGTAGCGAATGTCGTTAGGCAGCCTACGGTTAATGGCTTTTAGCATCGGCTGCATGCTGTTGGATGGCAACAACAAGTGTAACCATTTTCCGAACAGACTGCTCTCTTTGTACCCGGGGCCATTTATAAATGACAGCCACATAGTCCCACTTTTTGTCAATTGATCGGCTTATATGTTGCAGCTACAACGATTAAAAAACAGTGCTGTTGTCGTCATATTGTGGAACCTAGCATGGCAACTGTGCCAGTCAAATAACTGCGACCGATGTAAGTAATCGTTGGAATAGGCGATTGTCTGTCAGTGCACGTAAGTAGGCAGCGATTAACTAGTTGGTTAGTTGATGCCCGAACTTGTTAACAAAATGTCAGTCGCTCAACCTTACTACCCAAAAGTGCTTTGGAAGAACCACAACACTAAGGCTAGATAATTGTATGGGTATTGTCCTCGTGGCCCCGTAGTAGTAATTGTTAGCAGTATACCTCGTGAACAGTGCATAGCCCAGTTTCCTACCAGTGTATGGCAACCACGGAATGATACGGAGTACAGAGCCGTAATAATGGATGAAGCCGGAGTATGATGTTCACCAGCGAAACTGCTGTCGGCGCCAAGGGACACCAGTAAAATACTGGGACAATGTCATCCGATAGTAGTGAATGTCAATGCAAGCACGACTAAACAGAATTTGGTTGTGTAGTTATAACAGCAGTGAGCTGAACCTTCGAATGAGACTAGCAGTTGCAATGGTGTGATAGTATAGGTAGTTACATGGAGGAACAGAAGTTGTGGCAAAATGAAACGCAGTTGGAAAACGTGTAAGCAGTGGTTGGGAAAAATCTCAATGACCAAAATAGACGGATACCGAAGGCAGCGAACGTAACTGTTCGCAATTGACCACATCGTTGCAGAACGCACTGGCGAATACTCACCACATATAATGCTTATTGCCAACAGTCGTATGAATAATATATAAGCCAAATGACTGATGCAGTAATTGTATTTTTCCTAATCTATTACGTGTTTGCAGAACACAGTAGAGAAAAATCACCAAATATAGTAATCATCGGCTCGTGGTAGACGAGCTGAAAGTGAAACTCGATGCATGGTGTCTGGCGGCTATCGCCATGCACCAGAAGGGAATTTTGATCCGCGGGATGTGCTTGACACTCAGGTTGGGAGAGTTTCATGATTTTGTGTACCACTGTTCGTTTTGGACTGAGAATCGCAATCTCAGTTAAGATGGAGGCTCGCCTTTGCCAACAACAGACCATTGACTGTCACCAATTTATCGGTATAGGTGTTGGTCACACCATTCCGTGCACTCCGTGAACGAATGTTTTGGTCTGGTTTGGTCTAATCAGTTGGAGATAGCCGAGCTGGGAGTATAGCACTGCGCATGGTGATTGGCTCCGACCACCATGATCAATAATCCATTGAAATCCACGATCGATGCTTAACAGTGCGGTTAGAAGTAGATTTCCGGCTTTTGGAACGCCCGTCGCGTGTCTTGGATTGTGACAAGCAATCTCGATTGTATCCGCAATTTTATCTAATGGTAGCCTCTCCAAATATTCTCACCAGGACCGTCACCGAAGTAGACGGCTCTGGTGTGGCTATCTCCATTTTCCTCAACCTACGTCAGACGGTTTCGTCCTGGTTTAAACTCAGCCGGTGGAGATAGCCTAGCGGCAATTGCAACTCGGCACATATTGTAGGGCGGCTGTCGCCATGATTATTAGGTCAATGACACCCGCGAGCAGTGCTGGACGCAGCGGTTGGTTTTCTTACGCTGGTGCACCCGCTGTGTGTATAGGATTGCAGCAGGAAACCTTGATTCTTCCTTGGGTTTACTTAAATTCATTCAACTAATAGATTCACGCTGACCGCATCCAGTGTGTTTGGCTTTGGTTGGCTCTCACATCCATGCCATCCAAGACCAAAGGTTTCTTCCTGGTTTGCGTTCACTAACTGGAAATATTCGAGCTGAAATTGGAACTCAGGGCATATTGCCTAGAGGATATCGCCATGATTACTAGATCAGTTTGATTCACGTGTAATGCTTGAAACAGCGATTAGAATGGGATTATCGGGTATTTGAGCACACACCGTGTGTCTTGGATTGCGAAATGCAATTTAGATTTTCGCCTCGGTAGAATTTGAATTTAGCCTCTGCCAACACGACCACTGGTACCTTCACCAAATTGGACGAATTCTGTTTGGCTCTGGCCCATCCCTGCACTATACGACCGACGGTTTCTTCCTGGTTTGAACACATCAGATACAGACAGCAGAGCTGAAGGTGGAAAACGGCCATAGTGCCTGGGACTTGCGCTATGATAATTAGCCATTTACACTTGCTGGCTTTGCTTGACAGGCGATTTGAATTAGATTTTCTGGTTTTTGGGCACTCGCCGTGTGTATTGGATTGCGGCCAGCAATCTTGATAGTGTCCTTGGTTGTCTGTGAATACAGCCTCTGTCAATACAACCGCTATGACAGTCACAGAAGTAGATAGTTTTAGCGTGACCTCCTATCCCTGCATTCCAAAACCGACGGTTTCTGTCTGCTTTATACTCACCAAATAAAGGTAGCGAAGTTGGGTCTGGAACGCAGCTCATAGTATGGCTTAAGCCATCATCACTAAGCTACTGGGTTCTGCAAACAGTGCTTTGCACAACGGTTAGAAAGCTTTTCATGTTTTGGAGCAGCTTATTGATTTTGATTCCGAAACGCATGCACGATTCTGACCACCTTTGTCTTTGAATTCAGCCCCTGATTATTTCATCACTAGGACAGTCAGCGAAGTGGGTAGGGTCCGTGTGACTCGCTCCGCTTCCTGCACTTTACGACCGATGGTTTCTTGCCGGGTTGGATTTGTTAGGCACACCTAGCCGAACTGGGAATGAAACCCAGCGCGTAATCTTTGGCTGCTGTTGTCATGATCACTAGGCCATTGAGATCCGCGAGAAGTGCTTGACACAGCGGTTAGAAGTAAATATTCGCGTTTTGGAGCAACTACGCTCTGTGCCGGGTTGCGATGTGCATTCTCGATTGTGGCCTCGGTTGTCATGTAAGTCAGCTTCCGCCAATACGTCCACTGAGACCGTCACTGATGTGGATGTTTGGGGCGCGGCATACTATCATCCCTGGAATCCACGACGGACGGATTCTTTCTAATTTTTACTCATTAAATATAGCTAAAAGTCGTTGCGATACTAAGCGTATTTTTCCTGGCGGCTATAGCCATGTTCAATATTTCTATAAGATGTGTGAGCAATGTTTTGCAGACTGTTAGAATAGGATTTTTGGATTATGGAGCACAGGCTGTGTGTGTTAGCTTGTGATACGCAAGCATGATTGCCTTACGGTTTTCTGTAAAATATGACTCTGTCCATAAGATTATTTGGACAGACACTGACGTTGATGGTTTCGGTATGGCTCTCTACCATGCCTGCACTTCTCGACCGACGAATTAGTGTT